GGAGTATTGATCACAGGATGCAAAAGATTTTTAAACAAGTATCTAGATCTGCAAGTAAAATTTAGTTCCTATCTTTTCTCTCTTGAGTCAAAATCTACTTCTAAGGCATGATTATTGACCAAGATTGGACAGGCTTGCATGAACAAGTCTTAATGGTGGTTTTCACTAAGTGTTGATCACTTCTTTTTGACCTATATCCAAGAATTCATATGAAGTGAGCCTTCATGGTTGTAGCCACCAAGTCCCATTCGAATCATTTTTGTTGGAATCATTATGAATCAAGCCTTAATGGTTGTAGTCACCAAGTCCTATTCTAATTCCTCATAACTAAAACCTATAATGTATCCCTATTTTTGGTATGTGTTTTTTGAACCTCATAGATCTACTTGACTATCTAGGGTCAAAAATAGAGAGATAAAATGTGATAAATCTACACAAGGCTTTACCTTCCAGCCTTGTTTCAAGAATCTGATCCCATGTATACCAAGCCCCAAGAAAAGCAGTTGTGTCAGGTTTAGTGTTGGAGGTCGGCTTTGGTTCCTTCAAACAACCTAAGAAAGTGTGAATAGTTTACATGTTGATCCACTTAAGCATCTTTAGTACTATCTGTAATCATTAAATCTAGAATGGTTCTAAAGAGTGGTTAGATGACAAGTATAAATCAAATAAGATCATCCTCCCTTTCTTGAGCTCAATAAAAAATGGTTTTTGAAAAAAAATTTCATAAGAATCATAGCAAATAAATATCAGTAAACCTCCCCCCCCCCCCCAAGACTTAAATTACATTGTCTCCAATGTAAAACAGTTGGAGTTATGGCGAAAGAATAGTATGATAAGAGAGCTAGGAGAATGATTATCAGTGAAACAAAGCAAACCTATTTATACACAGGATCTCGATGACTCTGAGAAGATGTTGACATATCGAATATGAGATGGGGATTAAATGAGATGATCAATGAAATTGATGTTGTTGCTTGTGCTTAATCCTTTCGACATTAGGAAAGGCAACCGACAGCTATGGAAGATTCTTAAGATTCATCGCCGACGACTACAAAGGTAATGGACGATGAAGTCAAAATAAGTTAATTAACATGGGCCATAAAACAATATAAGCCCATGGCAAACGGAGATGTTAAAACGAAGTGTTAGAGATCGCTAGATGTCACAACCACAGTTACCCTATTAGTAATATATATCACCTTCAAAAGATAGGAAAAAAACATTTTTATAGTAATAGATTTAGAAATAATAGAAAAGAAAGGAAAATTTGGTGCAGTAGCTATGAAAAAAAAAACAAAATTAATAATTTAGTCAAAATCTCATTATCTCGCCTCTTTGTCTTCCTATCTCTCTTTCTCCCTCTTACCAAACTAATTTTGTTTTTGTTTATAGCTAACACTTAAAAAGAAACACCTTGATAAGTATGTCCAACGCGCTTATTTTTATACACCTCGACGTTCTTCAATCGTGAGAAAACATGAATTCCACGTTTTCATATAAAACAGCTAAAATTACAACTTTGACAAAAACTCTGTTTTGATGTCAAAGAAAAAAAATAGACAACAACTCTGTTTTGTGCATTGACTTAAATATACGAAAACAACTTCGAATATGCTTGTGAAAAATGCGATTAATTTATTATCTAAGACTCATCTGACACTAAACTAGGCCAGATAGATTTTAAATGAACTAGAACATCTATAAATTAATATTCAATAAATTAAATTTTTTTATAAATTAATAAATTTTACCAACTTCAACTTGATCCGGTTCAAATTTTGACACAAATTGATTAAATAATAAGATGATAATGTTTTAGAAAATTTTATGTAAATATATGGTCCCCTTAAAATTATAAATTAATAATTTATATATATACATATTTTATATAAGTAAGAACCTATTATTATATTGTTTGTTTTATATGCACAATAAATTATCTTTATAGTTTTTTAACACTTAATATCTTTTGTTGAAAATTAGTAAATTATATTTAAGACCACATTTAAATTCTATATATATTATATACACCAAATAATATAATAAATTAATATGAATTTCAAATTTCAAAAAATAATTAATGTCTATACACTAAAATCAAATATATTTTTTATCTTATAATAAATATATCTTAAAATAAGAAATCGAAATAAAGAAACTTTTCTAAATTAATATCTATATAAATTAATAAAATTTCAAAGTTCCCACATTATTAATTTATAGAGGTTCTATTGTAATTATGATTTCGGCTCAATGGTTGAAATATTAAAACACTACACAAGAATTTTGTTGGAAAAAAAAACTAAACATCAACTTTATTTTATACTTTAGGTCAATATACATAAAGAATATGGTATTTAAGTAATTTGGTATAAGTTTTCCATAATTAGGTAAAATAGCTAATTAATAGAGACCTTGGGAAATAAAATAACAGGGAGCTATGAGAAACAAGGAGGACTATTGCGACATACCTCCATATTTTTTTTTTTAATAAAATGATTGATATATGCGGTTTTTTGGAATTTTCTAACTTGAGAAATTCCTTACCATGGAGGGATGAAAGGGAGGGCACACTATCCGGTGTCGTTTGGACCGGGTTCTGGGGAACACATAATAGTATTCCTTTTTCCTCTGTTTGTATGCAGAGTATCTAGGTAGATTGGATCTGATCATCAGCCAATCATAGCCACGATAGAAAATGTAATAGTTAAAACTAAGCAACAATTGCATTTTGATAAATGATAGATTTGTGAGAATTATTTAATCGACTCATTTAAAAGAGGAAGGACTATTTCGTATCCATTAAATAGAGGTATTGTTGTGTAAAAAATTAGGATTGTACACATAAAACTTTTGTATGGAGGAAAACAAATTTACCATACGGTAAGGAAAATATAAAGAGCATTCAGAATGTCCTTAAGGAAGTTCATAGTGATGATTCAAAGTCTCATGAGGAAAATATAGAGGTTACAATACGTTTACGGGGACCGAAGACCAGCAAAAGGAAGGATGCACGGCGGGCTGGGGACCGATGGAGGCACAACCATGCAGCATGTTCAACGAGAAGGACAAGGGCCCACACTGAATTTGGGGGTTCCAATAAATCTAACCTAAAAAAGCGTCACCCTCCAGCTCAAGAAAAACGACAGCCTGCAAATGTTTTCTCTCTATGGTGCCGAGTACCTTGACACCCAAAGAATTCCAGCCAGCGAGGAGGAGCCGGGAAGCAAATCGAAAAGCCCCAGTCTTTCTGCAGAGAGCTGTTTGGTAGACTTGCCCTCAACGAGCCCCCGAAACAGATCATACCCCAGAAAGCTTCCAAGGTCTTCAACTGCTCCCATAAGAAAGGTCATAGACCCAGCCTGGAGAACTCCAAACTCACAGTTCCACCATGGTGCCTCCGAAAGCGGGGCACAAACATTGAGGATAAGCCACCAACGACATCGGGGCAAGGAACCTCGAAGCCCTTCAGAGTCCCGCAGAAAGCCAACACCAGCCGCGGATCCTAGGGGTAAATCTCATCCACAAGCGATGATGATCAACAGTCTAGGGAAGGTCCCAAAGGAGAACCAGCAACGAAGCTAAATGAAGTCCTCCGGGTCTTCATCCAGACAATAAGAGAAGGAACCCTCTAAGCATCGACGACAACTCCAGGCCTCGTGACTAAGGAGGTATCGAATCAACGATGCAGGACCCTGATTGGACAACGAGGACCTTCCAACAAAGAGATGGGGTTCCGCGACAAGTGACTGCCTACAAGCTACTAGATAACAATGGTAAAACAGAGTTCACCTATCTGAACACCTTGCAACTTATTATGATTTCTAGGTTTTTATCTATATTACTATATATTGTTTAAGAATTATGGTTTCCAACTCATATGTATGCTAAGAGTCTCCGGACAAAGCTTATTTAATAAAATAGTTCTGACTATAAAAGTAGTAGGAAAACCACAATACTTAAAGGGGCATATACGGCTGTTACAAGCCCCATGAAACCTTTGATCCCAGTCAAGCTTCATTGATACGTGGTACGACCACACAAAATAAACGGGTATGAGACTTAAGGCAGGAAGGGGTCTGCGCAAACCTGAGTATGCTGTCAAAACTACCTAAAACCCATGTATAGCCCAAGGCATATTGGGGTCCCAAAACAAAAATTGCAAAAGTACTATGAAATATAGGGAGCAAATAGTGCAAAAGTCCGGGAGCAAGGGTCCGAGACTTAAGGAACCACCCAAGAATTTCAACATAGAAAGGTTCCAAGGGACCTCGGCATAAAAAATCTGTGGGTTCTCGGACAACCACAAGATCCTAAACTCACACGGCCCGGATCCTACGACGACTACCTTATTCATCCTCATTAATCAAGTTTCGAAACCCTAAGAACACCACAGAAGCACATCCAAACCTACAGAACAAGACTTGAAAGAGAAAAGATGTTGGGGAGTCTTTATAAAAGACGAGATCAAGATTACACACCAGCAAATCAGCATATAAAAAAAAGAATTGAGACAAAGCTATAGTTATCCTTATTAAAAAAGCCACAATAGGGAAACCATGCAAAAAGTAAAGAGCAGTAGTCAAAAGAAGAAGGACATTTTCTAAAAACAAAAATCTTAAAAGAGATCAAGCTCTCAAGGCTTCATGGAGGGATCCACATCCAGAGTCGGCGGGATAGCAGGTTCATATTCAAAAGAAGGAGGCGGAATCCCCTTGCTTTTAGCTTCCTCCGAGATTACCATTTTATATTGAGCCAACGCCCCAGATAAATCCCATCGATGACTCTTCTTGTTCGGCCACTCCCTCATCAATTCCCCGAGCAACGATCCTTGCTCCTTTCACGGCAATCACCGTCTCCAGCTTGGAAGACTCCATTTCCTCCAACTTCTACCTCTCTTGACCCGAAGCTAGTGCATCAGCAGAAGATGCCTCGGTCACTTTCTCTAGCTTTCTCACCTTGTCCTTAAGGTCACGAATCTCCAGCTCTTGGGTTATGTGTTACTCTCTCTCCTCTGATACTTGACGCTTCAAACCTTTGAATTCTTCACCACTGATCATCAAGCACTCATTAGAAAACCGCTCCCCGAAGTGATAAAGCTGAGAAGTAACCTACTCGGAACAAGAAGACCTTTGTCAAAATAACAAAGAGGAAGAGGAAAAGGAAAAATAGAAAGCTATGCGCAAGAAGCTACTTGAAGAACCCTCATAACTTCCGAGGGTCCCCCTACTGGAAGGGTGGTACCATCCTGACGGAAAACTTTCCAGTTCAACTCGGATAAGGCATCGACTAATCTCCCTGCAGAACGAGCAGCGCCTGCCGATTGGTGTGCAGACCTAGTCGTCACACCCCCACCTTTAGGCTTATTCCTATGTTACAAAGAAGGCGTCTCCATCTTCGCTATCGACGTATGACGACTACCCGTGATTAACACATCTTTTCCAGATGCGGTCCTGCTAGCAGAACCTTTTTTGGCAGACATCACCTTGACCGCGTCTTGGTATGCTGCGAAAGGGTCGTTGGCAGTGACTCCATGCATGTTTCATATACCAAAGCCTACTACCAGACACGAAGAACGAGTAAATGGGATGCAAAAACACATGCTTACTCCAGAGACTGCTGCGCCACAACACCGTATTGCTAAAACCAGGAAATTTACTTGACGACGATCCAAAGGGAGCTGTCGCGACCAAAGGACGGCGTTCTCGCCCTCTGTAGGAGCAGGATAAGTTCCAGCTGTGGAAAAAAGAAATAAATGGTAAGAGCACTACAAGAAAAATGGGCTTTACTAGCGGACGAAAAACGTTATCTAACGATTCAACAGCGGTTTAAGGAACGCTGTATCATCGCCCGTCATAGTAGCTCATGCACTTTAGATAGCGGTTTTTTGTTCTGCTATATTATTGTTATATACTATAGCATTTTTTTGTATGCAATTAAATACTATATGATAGCATATGATTTTTGTTATTATTTATATTATTAAATATATAAAATAAATAAAAATACAAAAAAATTTTTTTAATATTTTATATCGAAACTGAAATTTATAAATTAAATATATATTTATAAATTAAAACTGAATTACAAATGATTCATAAATAAAAACTGATTTACATATAAAAGATAAAACAAAACTGGTCTAAATGTAATCTAAAAAATAAACCAAAAAAATTAAACCTAAAAACCCTAACTCATGGCGCCTCCTTTGCCGCAAAGCTCTGCCTCCGCCTTCTCTTTTTGCTTACTCCAGCCACCTCCTTTACCAGATCTGTCAACCACCATCACTCCATATGCTGTCTTCCTCCATCCTCGACGCTTCATCCACACTGACAGCTAGGTCCTCCATCTTCATTCTCTCCACCAGATCTGCTTCTTATCTGGCATATTCCTCCACCCTCGACGGTTCAGCATTGCCCTCAGCCATGTCCTCCGCCGTCCTCCTCCATCTTCTGTCTCTGTCAATCGTCAACATCCTCTGCCGTCATAGAAAAGAAACATGAATTGATATAGAAAAGAATAATAAGATGAAAATTTGAGAGACATATGAGAAGGAATAACACCTTACAATTGTGTCGTTGATTTGTTGTAGAGAGAAGTCACTAGGTGGATTTTGTGTTGATTTGTTGTTTAATTGTGTACAAGAACTGAGAATCGTGAGAGGTGGAGACTGAGAGATACAGAAAAGAGAGGAAGAAGAAAGAAAGAGATGAGAGCTATCGAGACTGAGGAAAGAGAGAGAAGGATTTTAGACCCTCAGATCAAAAATAATCAATAGTTAAGGACTGTAATCCTTGTCATTGAAAAATTGACCAATGAGAAAAGAAGAAAAGAAACTAAACGATTCATTAGTAGCCTTTGATTTAAAGTTAATCAATGGTGTCTAAGATTCCAACAGAAAAATAGGTTATTAAAAAAATATATATATATATTTTGATAGTTATTGTAGCAAATGTAATTTTCTTTTGACTAATTTTGTTTAAGTTATTCATCTACATTTTATAAAACTAAAGATATAAGTTTAACAAAATGATTAGATTTCACTTTTTATAAGCAAATTAAGTTAATGAAATTATTGATATATGAATAACAAAATGATTATATTTTGTTTTATAAACAATTTAAAGTTAAATAAAACTAATAATACAAGGTTAACAAAAATGATTTAGTGAGTTTGGGGTCTGGACTATAGTGTTAAAGTTAAGATTTAATATAAAACTATGAGATTATAGTTTTGAGATTTTTAGTTAGAGTTTGGGGTATGATATATATAGGTCTATAGTTTAGGGTTGTAGATTTAAATTTAATATCTGAATTAAAAATTTGAAAGCTTTAAAGTTCAATTTAAAACTTAAAATTTGAATAAGATTTGAGTATAGGGTATGAGGGTTAAAGGTTTAGAATATTGATTTAAGATTAACTTTTGAAAAAGATTAATTTTTGAGTTTATATTAAAGATCTGAAGTTAAATTTAAAATTAAATTTTAAAATAATAAAGTTTAAAGATTATGTTTAGAGTTTAGGATTTATTAAGTGTTTAGGGTTTAGGGATTCAAAAAAGCAAACATAACGTTTGTATTTATGTTTTGCTATTGAAACTAAGTGTCACATATAAAATCATATGCTATTATAGCGTTTCCAAATATATCACTATATCATAGCGTTTCCAAATATACAAACGCTATCTAAAACTAACAAGTGTATCAACTATAGCAAAAACGCAAAAAACGCTATCCTCTATTGCTATCAAAAACTATATTTCTTGTAGTGGAGGCATGGATGATGAGCGAATGGTTCCTTTTACCTACCAACAATATTCCGTCGATAAGCAGATCCTGGGAGCGCCATAAAAGCATATCTTTCCGCCCATTTTTTGCTAAAAACCGGTCCTTTCCAGTCACTCTTCGAGAGTTCCTCCATGATTGGCAAACAGCCACGAGGGCGCAGATGAAACCGTCCCTCTCCCTCGTTGAGAGGTGCCAGATTGTAAGCAAATAAAACATCGTTGAGGCCAAAAGAAAGATATTCCAAAGCTCTTAGATTCTGGATTTCGGTAAAGATCCTCCAGGCGGGAGGGTTCAGCTGAGAGGGTGAGATTTCAAAAAAGATGCATAAACAAACGACGAGCGCCGGAATTATTCCCCTGAATCCAAAGTCAAAGAAAGTATCGTAAACGGCAACTTCTCTCGTAGCGCAGCTAGAAGCCCTCTCCTCCGAAGAAAGCGCTCGAAGAAAAACTTGGGGAGGAAGACAATATCTTCTTCGCCAGTCAGAAAGATCATCTTCAACGACCGATGAGGAAGGCCCTATCAGTATAGGAGCCGCTTGTGCATAAGCCAATGGCAGAGGGGTCATCAGGTTGAAATTGGATTCCTTGCACGGATCCGAAGAACTATCGGAACGCGATGCATTGGAGTCTGCCCTCCTTCTAGATCTCGCCTCAGCCATAGAAGAAAGATCAGAAGAAGTGGGGTCTTGGACATAGTTCAAGACGATCCTATTCAACAAGTTGTGACGACAACGAAGGAGTCAATCTCTAACCCTAATCAGCTCAATGATTCAATCTACCTATAAAATTCTCAGTGGCAAGGAAATGAAGGGATAAGAAATAATACCTGAAATAGATACGTCGTCGTCTGAGATGAAGAACCAGCAAGAGAAGACTAAGGCATATAAAGATCAAGATAGTGTGCCCTAGAAATCTTGGATCTTGAGGAAAATTCAAAATTTAAACAACTCTCCTCCGACGCGTGAAACACCAACGGATCCCTTACATTGATGAAAGAATCCTTCAAAAAAGGAAAAAAAAATCCACATTGGTGAATATCCAAAATCCCCACGAGCGTCGTTCGAATCCCAGCTCCAGGGATCACAGCTTCAAAGACGCCGATCTTTTCCAGCGAAAAGCTCCTTCTACTCCATAAAGATCAAGGCTCTAGCCTCTACGACATCCAGGAATGCGAGAAACTACTATCCAGCTTTGGTTAAGCAAGGGAAAACCAGTCCTCACTCGGGTTCAGAATGAGTTCCGACTTGAGTGGAACCCGGGATAGCAAGATTACTGGAGCAAAACCTTGCCTAAGGGAAGCCTGCTGAGAATGAGAAACTCCGGTTGACTTGGGTGCACATGTTATTCCCCGAATTCGAAGACGCAATCGAGAAATAAGGGGCAAATTGTTGGGGAAAAATACTCAGGTATCACTTTCCTCCAGCCTCCAGGCAGGGTCCAGATCTCCGGGTCCCCGATAAGGGAACGCTCCAGGTCCCCTCTAAAAGGAACTCCGAGATCGGTCCCAGGGACCATCCCCCGATCAAGAAAATGGAAAACTTCCGATAAGTAGAATCTTCCATATTTCCGAATATGGAAGACTTCCATTTATTCAAAGTGACTAGAACCATCTTAAAGACGACAATATAAGGGGTCCTAAAATCCTAGAGCAAGGGATCAACACTTGGAGGCTTGGAGACTAAGATTAGACGGCTAGAACTAGGGTTTATACCAAACATCTTGTAATCCCTTCTTGTATGATCTAATAAATATCTCTTCAAGTTTTATTCCTTCTGATTACTCTCAAAAACTTACGAAACACCCTTCACTCCATAAAAACTACCAGCTCATCTATTGTTTCGTAGTACTCACAAAGAGCCTACACAAAAATCCCCAAACAAGTACTACACTTGAACCTCTTATTTGAGAGAGTAATTAGTAGCTCTAGGGTAATATGAGCACGTAGCAAATTTGACGTCGTTGTCGGGGAGCAAGGATTGCCATTAGACTTGTTTTGCAAGTTTTGTCTAGGTTTTCTTTTCATTTCAGTTTACTTACAGAAGTTTTCTTTTTCTTGTCTTTAAGGTGCATGCCCAGTGTTGGACCCAATTTCAGCAGATAATTAAAGTAAGTCCATGCAAGATCATCATGAGCTCGACGTCGACCAAACTTAACGAGGTCGAAGTGGTATCCCAAAGATTGCGGAAGCAATTAGAAGAGGAGAAGGCTAAAAAAGGAAAGCTAAAGCAAAGCATAAGGACACGGAAAAAACCCTAGAGAATATCACTAATCACATTGACCTCACTCCATAAACCTCTAATTCGCTTATAGCTTTTACTTTTCGTTGTTGTTCTCGATCATGTTTAGTACTTTGTATTGAATCTCATATTCAATAAAGTCCATTTTGTCAACCGAATTCCGATTGTATCGTTGTGTTTAAGAGCATCGTTGCTCACATCATTTGTCTTCCCTCAATTAAACTCTCGATCACTACAAAATACTTAGTGTGAATTTTAGGATTCACACCCAGCAGTACCAGAAGCAACAAATAAAAATTCCTAATTTGCTCAGATCCAGTAGCCATTGAACATAGCATACGCAAAGAGAAACGACAAGCATCGATCGAGGTAAGCACATCAACATCGATGGAAACTCATCTGCCAGGATTAATCGACATCCACACCAGCACATTGATCGACGTTGTTACCTTAGCAGAGATGGTTGCTATGCTGATCGTAACTAGGGACGAGGGAGGAGACCTGTATTACCTTGAAGGTCATCTGTGTAATGCAACAGAAGATTGATGATCATGGGACTCTAATCCCTGAACCTGAAGTGGCTGCTGAAGAAGACGTTGTAGTTCAAAACAGAGCTGAAGCCCAAGCTGCTCAACCTAGGACGTTAGGTGACTACAATCATCAATACAATTTTTATAGCAACAGATTTGCTATTCATCTCCATCTTTCCAGATGAACGATTTTGAGCTGAAGCCAGCGTATTTCACACTTGTGGCATAGACACCATTCCATGGTATTTCTCATGAGCACCCTTTATATGGATCACTTGGAGCAATTCGAGGACCTTATGTCTGTCATCAAGGCTAATGGAGTCCCTGAGGACTACCTTTTATGTAAGTTCTTCAGGTACTCAATTGTTCGAGAGGTTTTGTACTGGCTTAAGCAGCTACCACCAGGATCTCTTACATCTTGGACAGACATCAAAAACGCATTCCTGCGTAATTTCTTTGATAATGCCAGAGTTGAGGATTCAAGGAGCAGAATCTCTACATTCACACAGGAGCCTACAAAGTCTTCATAAGCTCTTGGATCAGATTCAAATCCTACCAGAGAGATTGTCCACAAAATAGATTCAATGAAGTTCAACTTCTCAGCATTTTGTTCAGAGATATTGAACTGTCTTACCAAATGGCTTTAGACACAGATAGTGAAGGAAACTTCTGCACTAAGAATCCAGAAGAAGCCACCAGATTGATAGAAAATTTGGCTGCTAGCAACAGCAGCAAAAACAATGATCATGAGAGGAAAAAAATAACCTTACACTAACCAAGGATCAGATGGAAGAAGTAAAAGCTAAGTTGGAGAGTATTCAGGGTTTCTAAAGAAGCAAGTTAGCTTTGCAAAGGATGTAGAAGCTATAGGACCTGACAAAGGTGGAGTACAAGATGTGAACTTTGTTGGTGAAAATGGATCTCAGAGTTATGGGAACCAGAACAACAGAAATTCCTATGGCACTGGTCAGAGGAGTAGCTACTACCAAGGATCACAGCAGGAGAGACCCTATAGAAACAACAGAACCTATGGAGCCTCCTACTATCAGAACACCCCACCATAAATTTAGGAGATCAAAATTGAAGCCATGATTGACAAGGTCCTGGAGTGGCAGTAAAAGATGACAATGGATGTCAATGGAAAGATTGATGATGTCTATGTCAACCTCAGCACTAAATTTGAAGCTCTCAACACCTATGTGAAGAAGCTACAGAATCAAGTTTTTCAAACCAGTGAAGCTGTACAGGGACAAGAAAAATTGATCAAGGAGAATATTAAGGCTGGACAGAGTGTTTTTTGGCACGAAGTGAAAGAAGTTAGGCACTAGGAGGAAAACATTCATGAGAATCCCATGCTCTATTCAAACAACCATCGATTGACTTCCGAAGCTAGTCATCAATCGATGGTACTTGTAAAATCCATGAGATCATGTGAAGCGATAGACATGGAGCGACAGTCGGACCTTTCCATCGAACGACGACCGTTCGAAACAAAGAGATGTAGGTTTCCAAGCCTTTTATATGCTAATGGACATTCAAAAGCCACCCTGACCAAACCTAGAAAAACATATGAACAAGTCCCTAGAACACTTGAGGAAGTTATGGAAGTAGATCCTAGAGGAAAGAAGAAGGTCCCTAAGCATCTTAGAAAGGAAGCTAATGAAAAAGAAATGGATATCTTTTCTAGGAGATTTTTCAGAATCCCTTTAGAAACCCCATTCGAGGAAGCTTACTACACTAACAGACTGGGGATGTTTTTCAGAGAAACCAAGGCGGCCGATAAGGACATCTAAAGAACGTTCAATCATCTGAGGGAGAAAAATAAGCAGAGGGTCAAATTAAAGAAGAGAAACAACCCTGTGAAGTTTGTTGTTCCCTGAAACATCAAGGGACATGACTACTCTCATGCACTCTGTGACACCGGTTCATCAGAGAGAATCATGCCAATATCCAAAGCAACATAAATTGCCTAACATAGCTAAGTTGATATTGATCAACCTTGTCCAACTCGCCTGTTGGGGAAGTTGGATCGACCTCGTCCAGAGTAGGATCAATATCATTAAACTCGCCATCCGGCGACCTGGATCAGTCCCGACCAACTCGCCATCATGCGACCAGCTTCTCCTTTGGTTCTTGAGTGAGTTGTCTCTTGTTTTGTCTTGATTGGAGTTGTCGTTGAAATTTTATGATAAAATTAACGAATACTTGTTTTCATGTATGGATTCAAATCAATCGAATAAAACGATAACGGTTAACTTAACACCGTAGTTATTTCGACTATACGATTGGTCATCATTATTTCATAAAACGATGTCATACCGACGGTGATTTTTCAAAGAAATCGTAAAAATACTTAAAATGAAAAAACAACATGAAAATGTCTAAAACGCAACAAAAGCCCACTTACAATTTTGGATGAAAATGAGCTCAAAACTGCTATGACGGTTTATCTGATATTTCCAAGAGAAGTTAAATGTCAAAAACGTCACTGACTCCAGTAAAGAAGCATGTCAGAGATCTTATCTATCCACAAAGGATTATACGGCTGAAGCTAACACGAATTTACCCTACTCAGCTTAGAAGATTTCGCTCAAGAAGATAGCTCGAGAATAAGAATTTATCCCAAAGAGTTGTCACCTAGAAACCAATATGGAATCAAGACTTTACAGAATTCAATCTTAACAAAAATAAAATAGAAACTTGAAGATTAGATTTAATCAAGCTTGAAAGCACAACAAAAGAAATCGCCGACGTAAAAATTACATCCAACAAAGCGGAACCAAAAAGTCGATCGATATACTATAAACAAACAAAATATATCTCAATCACTTTGAAAGATGGATGTTTGTTAAAATGGTTGAGAGAGAGACCCAAACGAAACACTATATTTTTCTTCTTTGAAATAACTTTTAAATTCTTTTCAACTTTTTCTGCAATTTTACGAATCAACATGTCCCTTTGAATCTCGAGAAATGCATATTATTGTTAGTTTATTGATGGCACAATTGTAACTAAATTATTTTTCTTTGAATTTTAAGTTTTCTATAGTTTTTTCTCTGCAATTTTACGGGTCAACATATCCCATGTTCAATCTCGAGAATGTCATATTATTGTTATTATTAATGATTTTTATTAACAACACAATCATAATTAAATTGTCTCTTATTAAAAATAAAATTTAAGTTCTCTATAGTTTCTCCATAATTTTCATCCGAAATTGATTATAAATAACTGTAATTTTGCCTTTTCTAATTGTTTCTTCATTAAATAAGTAGATATAATCTCTAACTAGGTGACTGGCCCGCACCCTGTGTGCGGACATGAAAAATACTGTGATATCGGTTGAGTTGGATTTTGATGGAAATAGATCTTCAATAGAGAACTCATTGATCTCCAAGCATCACAGGATCTTCTAAGTTTTTTGATAAAAGGTATGAGTCTGAGTTTTTTTCAGAGTGTTTTGAACAGAGTTGGTATCGTCTCATGGACTGATGTTGATCGGAACCGGCTTGATGGTACAAAGATAGGGAGGTGAATTGTTAGTTCTATGGACCATTGTTTGTGGTTTTAGCTTAGTTTCTGATTTTTTCACGAGATGTTGCGATTACAAGCAGTGATCTTGCAAGGAAACCTATAAAATCTACCCATTGAATTTTGAATAAATTTTTATTTTTGTCTCGATTTTTTTCAATCCCATTTGTATCTTTTACAATTATGATTGTATCATAAGCTGTTTAAATTTTTTTACTTACCAAGGTACATATTATTAATAAAACTGCTATTTGGGTTTGATGCAGGGTGGATGTTGTAGTTTTTGTCATCTGGGAAGTAGTCATCTTAGCATTCTTAGTGTTCTCATTCGTTTCTTTGTACTTCAAGAGATTGCAGCTCGCCTTCATCTTGGTATGTGTCACTTTGCTACTACTTGTTTACATGAAGGTCACAAAGCAGGTGAGATCGGCTAGGAAGAAGAAGCGAAGGATGCTTCTTCCACTATCTATGTAAAGAAACACCAAACCCCATATGTGAAGCCCTTTATATTATCACTAACTGAAATTGTGTTATATAAATTCTGTAATTTTATATTTTCTATTTAATTCTAAAAATTATATGTTTAAACAAAAATTTTAAAAGCAGTGGCATATTAAAAGAAAATATGATAAAAATTAATATATATTCCATAAGTAAGATAAAATAAGAAGTAAAATTCTCGATAAAAAAATTCCAATCAGAAACCTGCACAAAATTATTTAATTTTATAAGTAATCGTACGATATCAAATATTCTAATAGATTTCTAAATTTTATTGAGACCAAAACTATATTAAATTGACATACCGTTATCGGAATATTCCTAAAACTGGTTTGTAGTCAACTACAACCCATCTTCCGTCTGTCTTATTCTATCAGTTAATAGAAAAAAAAACAAATGTAAGAATTTAATAATTCAAAATCTCTATCGAATAAAAAAATTGTGTACCGTTCACTATGGAATATTCTGAAAAACTTGTCTGTAGACAATATTTGTTGTTTTTTTCTGCGGATTTTCCTTTTATCGTTTTGTTTTCCAGAGAACCGAAGTTAACTATTTGGCCGATAACAACTACATAACAAAAACAGAAAATATCAGGAACAAGTATAACACAACCGATGTTTTATTTAACTTAAAACAAGTCTGGTGGCTCATTTTAATCACACGACTTATGTTGCAGAGTATTAATGGTTAGAGTATTAATACAAATCTAAGCTACATGATAAATGTTAATGAAAATGACTCACCAACTAAACAGCTGTTATCAAGCTTTCCACCAAGAATATCATCGTAGTCCGCAAAATAATTTTCGGGGACTTCACTTGGAAACTCATCAGCTTTGGCAACAAAAGTTGTTGGAAAGAAGCCAATTTTGTACGGATGTGTTGTGCACGATAGTCGCCAATAGCATCATACACTTTAAACAACTGGAGGACAATCGCATCTCCCTCATGTAGCTTGTCTTCATACTTTTTGATCAGTTGTTCACCAACTGAAGCATGAATTCTTGTCCCCTGATACGGAATATAAAAGGCATGAGTTAGAAAAACTGAACGATAAAAGTTCGGTGAAAGAAAAATAGTTAGATATGAAATAGTATTTTTCACAAGAAAAAAATGAGTTTATTGTATAGTAAATATAAAATAAAAGACGAATCTGAGATGTCAAAAATGTAGTAATATCTTTACTTACTTTTTTATCAACAAAAACAATTTCAATGGTGTTTCCTGATTCTTTGTTATAGTTTCTCCACAAGCGGATAATCCTAACTTCAATACGCGACGTATCTTTATGTGGTTTTAATTCTCTAAGATAAGAAACAATGCTTTTGGAGGCGTGAACCAATGCCATTTTTTAAAAAAAATTGAACGAAAAAGAGAAGAATGTTTGTATTTTAAGACCTTGGAGTTCGCCTATATATATAAGTTCTTATAATAATGATGTTTTCGCTATATTAACTTGCGCAAGTAATTCATATTAGAAAGGTAAGTTATTAAAAACAAACAATCTAATTAGAATCCCTAAGGTAAATTGCATTTAAACAATGTAATAAATATGATATCAAAATGCATAAGTTTTCCTTAAGGAATAATAAGAAAAGTTATTAATACACGAAAATTAAAATTACTTCATGTAATAATCTTGAAATTGGTAATTATCCCCACGAAAAAGTTATTAGTATACGATATCAATGTAATAATCGTGCGCAAATAATTAAAATTATTATTTTTGTAAAAACCAAAAAATAAATTTCAAATCGTTTCAGAAAATCATGAGAGGATCCAAAAGGCATAGCACCTAAGAATGTTTTCATACCTCCTATCAAAGCTCATCATGATCCATTTCATCCCATGCATTCTGCAAAAATAAAGTATACATAACATGAGTGGAAACAGAATCAAATCGCCTAAAAGTAGAAATACTTTCTATGATTCTCCACAAAATGGAAAAGACTCTATCTAACTTCAGTCCACAGCGAGGTCCAATGCTGCAGGTGGAGCATGATTTTCTCCAATAACAGTAACCACTTAACGCTACCAGAATACAACTGGTTTGACTACCACACTGATTAATGCATTTTGGCGTCCAAACATACAATTGTGCAAATAATTAGATACAACCTAGGACCAAATAATCTCAAAGAGTAATACGATCAAATGATTACATGGCGCACAATAAAGTTGATTCACTTATTTCTTTTTACATACTGAGGAGATAAGGTTCATATTCTCAACCATACAAAAAGCTTACAGCTCAAGATAAAAAAGGGTTGTGTAGCAGTGAGTGTAAGGACCTCAGAAGTATGATCATAATCCTCTAGAACTTCAACCCCTACAACAAAAACATTTAATTTTAGCATAATCCCAAACCAATTCCCCTCAAAGAGAACTTGAGAGTGATATATACATAAGTGTACTCACGATTTACTAACCCAGTCAAAGCAGACAACCTATCAGCCATTGCCTCAGCTTCCTGGAGGGCTATAGCAAAAGCTTCATCATCTGAATAACCAAGCTTCTCCTGTAACGAATTCCAAGACAGATTATAAACACTTTAAATTATATAAAAGTTCATGTACTCAAGTCTCTAGACAAACAGTAGAAACTACACTATCACATTGGTTTGAACAACCACACTCCCTACACAACAGTACGAAGATTCAAGTACTCTAAAACCATAACAGATATAAATATATATATATATTTATATATATACTCACCTAGATTCACGAACAGTGACGATTCAAATCTTAGTTCGTCAACAATCTGATTTTGAACTACCAAGGCAGACAAAAAGTACAGAAAAACTATAAGGTATCTTCTCGATTCTACGGGGAAAAAATCAATCAAATCAACGGATCCAAGGATTTTCAGAGCTGCGACAAAGAATCGAATTGGATCGGAGAAGACTCACAACGTATCGGAATCTGAGAGGCAGAAGACTTGGATTGATTACACGAATCAATTTTTTTGGAGCTTAAATGGAATCCGAGAGAATCGAAGAGAGAAGGAGACGATAGAGAGAGAGTGAGAGAGAGAGAGAGAGAGAGAGAGAGAGAGAGAGAGAGAGAGAGAGAGAGAGAGAGAAAGGGCACCGAACAGAAGCGGCTTAAGGTTTTTTCTTTTGTTTTGGTAAGAGGAAGATCGAGAAACTTTCTTAGCCATGGAATCATGAGAATCGAAGAGAGAAGAAGATGATAGAGAGACGTCACCGAACAGAAGCGGCTTTAGGTTCGGCTATTTTAAAAAAAAATAATAATAAAAAAATAAAACCAACCAATCAAGTTAAAATGATTTTTCTGAGAGATTCTATATGAGCGACTCGTGTCAAGAAGTCACTAAAATGACTTCTCTTTTAATATATAGGGGATATTCTATTTAATCAATAAATATCCAAAATAGTGAGTTCTTTTCATGAAAGAGAGTTATTAACCAGAGTATAGTGAAAATGCCACAGTTACTCACCGCCGACGGTTCTGTCAGTGTCGACAGGTAAATTGCTCCCCACGGCCGCGTTTTAGAACCCGGGTCTGATCTAGTATCGAGCATCGACATTGGGACTTGGGAGTTGGGACACCTCGAATAACTCTTAACAAGTTGGAGAGACAAAAATGTTTATTCAATTTCTCTATATAATAAAAACCTAATAATACTTTTAATGCCTACTAAATGTACCGTCCACCTAACTATATTTGGTGGTTTATCAGTCAAAAAAAAAAAGACGGGAACCGATAAACCAAGTATTCCATTACAAAAATACAAATGCCAAATCAGACAAAGCTGGTCAGAACAGCTAGAGAACGCCATCGATTAGTCCACGTGGAGTATAGACTTCTCCTACTATTGACCGATTATAACCGGTAAACTTAAATTCGTTGAAAATACTCCGTTTAAAGTCCGTCTCTGTTTCAAAAAAAAATGTTTCAAAAAAAAAAAAGTCCGTCTCGTTCCGTTTGTCCGTCAATATAAATAAAGAAGCTTCATCACCCCATCCTCTCTTTCCTTCCTCTTCCCTCTTTCTTAGTCTCCCCTATAAATCTCCCATTCTCTCCTCCTCCTCTTCTCACATTTCTAGGTGACTTCCGTGGGGAAATCATCAACTTTACATACCGCTCCGACGAATTTTTTCATTTTATCTTCTCTGTCTTCCGTCGTATTTGCCGGAGGTTCGATTTACTCTCTCCCTTAGGAACAAACTCACTCTGCTTGCATCCCAGTTTGATTCTGTAGATTCTTAGATCTGGTTCATATCACTCATCAAAGTTGACTCTGTATCTGTCTTGGATCTTGATCTGTCTGTGTTTCATTTTATGACTCTGATGGAGCAAGAGAGTATAATTTCTTGCATATCAAAATCTGCTTTTTTCTTTGATACTTATTCAAATGATTTGAAAAGTGTTTATTGGATAGGTAATTTCGCGTGACCCAACAGTTACATTAGGTTCGAGTCAACTTATGTTATAATCAATGTTGTTGTCATTATTCAGATCTTGGTCTGCTCAAATATCAAAGACACTAAGCGAGATGGAACCACTTGGACTAAGAACTGTAGGTTCACACTGTTCTCTATCGGAAATGGACGATCTTGATCTGAATCGAGCATTAGACAGACCGAGGTTGAAGATCGAACGGAAGAGATCTTTCGACGAGAGGTCAATGAGTGAACTATCTAGACACGATTCTCCAAGAGGCAGGTCGGTTCTCGACACGCCTCTTTCTTCTGCTAGAAACTCCTTTGAGCCTCATCCTATGATGGCTGAGGCTTGGGAGGCTCTACGGAGATCTATGGTCTTCTTCCGTGGTCATCCTGTTGGTACTCTCGCTGCTGTCGATAATACCACCGACGAGGTCTTAAACTACGACCAGGTAACAAACATATTTATCAGTGGATTGGCTTATAGCTCTACGGATCATATTACTGAATGTTATTATGTTTTGTTTCTATAGGTGTTTGTGCGTGATTTTGTGCCCAGTGCACTGGCGTTTCTGATGAATGGTGAATCGGACATAGTGAAACACTTTTTGCTCAAGACACTTCAGCTTCAAGATTCCGAGAAGCGTGTTGACCGTTTCAAGCTTGGAAAAGGTGTGATGCCTGCAAGCTTCAAGGTGAGTCACGATCCCATCCGAGAAACGGACCACCTCGTTGCAGATTTTGGTGAAACCGCCATTGGACGAGTGGCCCCTGTGGACTCAGGCTTCTGGTGGATCATCCTTCTCCGTGCTTACACCAAGTCTACGGGAGATTTGACTCTCTCGGAGACACCAGAGTGTCAGAAGGGAATGAAACTGATCCTGTCTTTGTGCTTAGCTGAAGGATTCGACACGTTCCCCACTCTTCTTTGTGCTGATGGATGTTCCATGATAGATCGGAGGATGGTAATTAATAACATCCCTGGCTGTAAACTATGTTATTGTTTATGAATTGATTGATTAGGTTTGTTTGCTCTTGAATGTGAAGGGTGTTTATGGGTATCCAATTGAGATCCAAGCGTTGTTCTACATGGCTCTGAGATGTGCCTTGTCGATGCTAAAGCCTGATGGAGATGGCAGAGAGTGCATTGAGAAGATCACTAAGCGACTTCACGCCTTGAGCTTCCATATGCGTAACTACTTCTGGCTTGATTACCAGCAACTCAATGACATTTACAGGTATTATACTGTTTCTGCGTGAGATGGTATTCTAACCTTGAAAACAATAATACTTAAAACTCATACATCTTTTTTCTGAAGGTACAAGACTGAGGAATACTCACACACGGCGGTGAACAAGTTCAATGTGATGCCAGATTCAATACCAGAGTGGGTTTTTGATTTCATGCCTCTCCGGGGAGGCTACTTCGTGGGTAATGTAGGACCTGCCCATATGGACTTCCGGTGGTTTGCACTCGGCAATTGCGTCTCCATAATGTCTTCACTGGCCACTCCAGATCAATCCATGGCCATTATGGACCTTCTTGAGCACAGGTGGGATGAACTTGTAGGCGAGATGCCCCTCAAGATTTGTTATCCTTGCCTCGAGGGCCACGAGTGGCGCATCGTCACTGGCTGTGACCCCAAGAACACACGGTGGAGCTACCACAACGGTGGTTCTTGGCCAGGTTTGTTTTCTTTCCCCTATATAGCTTAACTGAGATAGATTGAATTGTGTCAACACGTATGAAAGATTTGATTTGATTCTGACCATGCCTTTTTTTGTTGTGTCTGCTGCAATGTACAGTACTGTTGTGGCAGCTAACTGCAGCGTGCATTAAGACAGGAAGACCGCAGATCGCGAGACGTGCAGTTGACCTGATCGAATCGCGTCTTCACAGAGACTGTTGGCCAGAGTATTACGACGGTAAGCTTGGA